TTATGTCATTCACATAATACTAATTAATTAATTTTCCATGGTTTTACACTGGGAAACATGCTCTTTCCTGACTGTGAATCTCTCCCATTCAGCATACTGCAGGTTTTTAAAGAACTCTTTGTATAAAATATCACATATATGTGATGAGTGAAAGACAGTGGGAACAATTTTTTTACTGAAAGAACACCACAACATTAGACAGCAGTCAAGAAACCTCTAGAAAGCCAAGATTTTATTCCAAGTTATAACTGAAATTCAGGGTGGTCCCCTTTACCAAGATTTTGGCATGTTGGCTCCAGTCTAGTGTGCTCACATTATTTTGCAAAGCAACATCAATGCAGGAATGGCCATGCAAAGTCATAGTGCTGCTTCAGCATCCTTTCCCTGAAGGAAACAAGGACAAGCTCCTCTCAGGAGATAGCATACAGTTTCTAGTGGGCTTTGCTTTCTTTTAAGGTCATTCAGCACAGGTTTAAAGCTAACTTAGATGTCTGTGTGTCAGTGACCTCTGAGAAGAGCACAGCCAGGCAGAACTGATGAAGCCATCAAAGCTGAGCCCAGGCCCAGGTGCAGCAGCTCTGGACCTTTCAGAAGAGTAGGCAACAACAGAATCCAACATCTCAAGGATGGGGCCAGGCAGCTGGCACACAGCAGTGAGGAATGCAGCAAGGAGCAAAGGAACAGAAGCATGGAAAGTCAGAGGGACTGGCAGGAGCAAGGGCAAGATCTGCTACTCTGAAAGATCTCTGTGTGTTGGGCAAGCAGTGCTACCATATAGTCACTTCTGTCTCTGCCCAAGCACCAGGCTCAGCTCTCCAGGAGTTTGAAATTAGCACAGGAAGGCCTAAGGCAACTCCTGCTCTTGGCAGCTACCTTGCCTAAGTATGAAGCTGAGATGCCACAAGATGAAAGCTGAAATTCGTTGCTTCCTGAATTTTATTGTAAAGCCCATATACACACAGAAAGACAGATATTTATTTCACCAAATTACAGCAAGGCTGAGATACCTTGGATAATTTCAGATAAAGCTTTAAAAATAAGAGTTGCTAATTTTTTACACACTTTCTGTTTCACACCTAATCTTGTTTTCAAGCAGCTATGATTATCCTGGAATATTAGCTAGGGAGATTTACCGAAGGTTTTTTCCAAGTTTCATGTTGAGCAAGAGCAATGTTGCAGAGGCCTAGAGCCAAACCTATTGAAATCCATAAAAAAATGCTTCAGCAATTTTACTGGGCTGTGCAACAGGTCTCAGCTATTTCAAGAGTAAAAGTGCTCCATTCTTACAGTCAGAGCATTGGCAGGAGGAGGACAGCACATCAGCCAGATGGCAAGAAGATGTAGGGACATAGCCTGGGGTATGGCCACTGGATCTCAGCAGGACTTCCTAATTCCAGGAGTTACAGCTGAGCTACTGCTGGAGTGTTCAGCCTGTCAGCAGAGAAATTATCACTGTCATGGCACTAGAGCTACGACCTCAATGAGATTTTAAAGAGTGCAGTAGCTTACATGGTACAGGCTCAGTCACTACGCACACAGCCTTTGTTATTTCCCTCAAGGCTGCTGTAGAACAAACAAATTACATTGAATGTGACATTACTGAGGAAAAAAGCCCTGAATGTGCCTTTTGAGACCAAGAGTCATTGGGGATTGTATCATCCCAGTATCAGGTGAGAGGGAAAGTTCTTCTTGATCCTGATCCCCTGTTGTCCCTCTAAAGATGTAGCAGAAGCGCTCCCTCCATGAGAAAGTAGGCTTCTGCATGGGATACAGCTTCTCCATGGGATACAGCTTCTCCATGGGATACAGCCATCACCAACATCCAGGCAACATCCAAGCAGGTTCTACATCTGGTTAGACAGCAAACAATGGCAGAAGCACAGACTCAGAGCACACTGGGCATCCCCTGCACTGCTCTGGCCCCAGAGCAATTGGCCACTGGCCTGTACAGCAAAGGCAGGACCAGTTCACCTCTTACTGTGCTCCCAGCCAGCCCAGTAGCCCTGCATGGGTGTGAGACAAGTCCTGCAGTGTCCACAGCTCAGCACATGGGAGAATTTTGCTTTTTTCTCAGCCTTGGCCTTGGACATGAGTTACCACATTTCACCCACTCTTCTTCACAGAAACAGGGGCATGTTTATTCATCTGCCTGATTTTATCCAACCTGGCCAGGTACAAAAAAATCAAAGGGATCTACACATCCTCCAATGCACTGCTGGGCAGCACAGCTAAAGCCTGTTCTTCTCTCCCTCACTCAGCCCGGCAGGAGAACCAAGCCCAGGGCATTTTCCTCCAGCAAGGCTGTTTGTGTTGTACTTCTGGGGTTCTTGGTGCATTGAAAAAACCCTTGAAGTCAAGCCCTGCACAACATGAGGACACATGGAGGGGTGTGAGTGGGTAATGACAGGTCCCTGAAGTGCCCTGGGATGTCTCGTACTCGCTGTGCACAAATCACTCCAAAGAGAAACTGGAATAGAGCCTGGGACTGGCAGCACAGGATCCAGAAGTGACTCTGAAGTGCTCAGGAAGGCTTTGCTGTGACATAGCTCTCCCTGCACTGAAACACACCCAGACAATCTCTGAAATCCTGATCACCACTGCCCTCCACCGCTGTAAAATACACCAAGACAAACAAATCCTCTGCGTTTGGTCCGTGCCGATACAGAAAGAATCCTTCCCCAGAATTCTTCTTTGATTCCTATGAAAATATCACCCCAAGTAAATACATTCATGCTTTTTCTGTGTGTGGAAGAAGTGTGGAATCCTCCTGCTGGCAAAAGTCTTTTTCCAAACATCACTAAATCCGTATGGAAAGCTGATGAAATAGCACAGCTTCTTCAAGAAATTAGAGGCCAGGCTGATGGGAAGTGTCAGGAGGAGGAACATTCCCAGGGCCAGCAAGGAGAGCTCAGTGGGGCACAGGGACACGGCTGCTGCTGGGTTTCTTTGCTTCAAGAGGCCATTTCAAGCCCAGCCCAGATGAAGAAGGAGCCTGAAGTGATTGTCCATGAGAAATGAGCTGCAAGGCAGCTGAGGGTGGAGAGGCAGCTCCAGCACCAAGCACGCACACGGCCTTGGGGCTGACCCCACTCTGATGGTGTGGGGCTGCTGCAAAGGCTCTGCCCCAGCACACAGCTCTTGCTGGGCTCTCCAGCAAAGCCACAGCTCTGCCTGACAGCTCAGGCCCTGGAGGAGAGCGAGTCACGGCCTCCAAGGGAACGCTGAGTGTACACTGAACATACCTCACTGGGCCCTCGGGAAAAGGAATTCTGCCAGCTCCCAGCTTGTGGGACCAGCAGGCGGCTTCAAGCAGGTCCAGCCCAGACTCATTCCTGACTAAGCACATGGTCTCAGAAGCTTCCAAAGGCTGGCACAGCCACACTGGAGACGGCGGCCGATGCCGGGGTCTGTGGCCCGGACCCCAGCCGGGCTCAGTTCCATTTGTAGGGGACTTCCAGCTCTGATGGGCAGGCCCAAGCACCTCTCACTGCCTGCAGGACCAGAAGGTTTCAAACTTCTCATGGAAAGCATCTCTGATGTAATGAACTCGAATTTTTCTCATGCTAAGGAGCAGCCAAGAAGAAAAGGAGCTCTGACCTCCAGAGACCGAAAGCTTCCCGTTCCAGGTTGTTTCTTCTCGCCCGAAATCCTCTCCAAGCAGTGTTTTGGCTGCCCCTGGTCCTCCAGGCCCGGCGGGGAAGCGCAGGAGCCGCTGGCAGCGGCCGGGCCGGGCGGGCGGCGCTGGCTGTGGAGCAGC